CCCACCTGCAGAAGCTGTTGCCTTAGGCAAAGGAAAGCTATGGTGTGTGTTACCAGTGTCTTCAGAATTTTTGTTTTTAAGGGAATAGATGTATTTTCTGGGCACTGTGCCCAGATTAGTCTAATTTTTCTGCAAAATTATATACAGTGCGCCAGATACTGCATCAAGAAAGACTAGTTTATACACTAATAAATAAATAAAACCAAGCACATTCACTGGTGAAAGCCATGGCAAGTGCCATCTAACTCCTCCATCCTACTTCTGTGACATGATGATTTCTTGATCAAGAAGCACTGTGCTTTTAAATATTAAAAAGTAGCTTCATTTAAGTGACAGAGAGGAATCCTGAACTGGGTCTTGCTTCAAATTGCAGGAACATTGCTTTGGTACACAGCTGAACAAGACTGATGTTTCATTGTGTTTATGGCTAGCATTATGCTATTAAATTATTAGTTACAGTTGTGATCAACATGTTACAGAATACTCTGTTGATACCATAAAAGGTCAGAAGACAGTAACCAAATGATTAATGCTATCAGAGCAATGCTCCCGTTTCAAGTAATGCTTATACAGCAGAAATAGCAGAGCTGGCCTACATAGCAGAATAATAAAAATTCAATAGAAGAGATCTCGCAAAGGTATGTAGAAAATGGTGAGAAAGGAAATCATTATGTTGCAAAATGTAGTTTAAAATAAGGGGGGGACCAAAACCATAAATATCTCCCTAATTTATGCATGTATGTCTTTATACAAGGAAAATTCTTGACATCAGTATTAATTTTAATTCGAGAGGCAGCTGGACACATTTCTGGGAAAGGAAGAAAGGCAAATGAAAGTTCCTAACTTCAGCGTGGGAGTTAAATCTAGGAGATCTCATAATACACGGATTAGTATTTCCCAACTTTGTGAGAACAGGTTTTCAGAAACACTTTCCTTATTGTCCTCAATCTGATGGTAAATATTGTTCACTGTAGACTTTACATAACACCCCATATGAGAGCAGATTAACAACTGCCAGTCTGTGAAAATGCCAACTAAGTTTTCTACCATTTTAGGGTGGCCTTTTTCAAAGGGGTTTTAAGGAATTAGCTGTCCAACTCCCACTGTGTTAAGAAAAAAGGAACTACTCACCATCAGGTTCTATTTTTAACAGCACAGCACCTATGTTTACACTGTGTTAGTCAAAGTTGTACACTCTTCTCAGGGCTGAATAGCTCATATACTAAAGAGCTTGTCCTTATCTTCCACTGATGTCAGGGACAGTTAAAAACGCATAGCAGCTTGTATCACTGAAGTACAAAGGAAATGGTGTAGCTGTATTTTGTTCTTTTAGGGATTTGCCCATATAATGAAATAGATAGGGAGGTTTGTGCCCTAGTACATGATAAAATCCTTGAATAGATCTTCGCTTTGAAAAATTCCATGTAGGCCAACAAACTGTTATAATACCTTCATACATTTGCCTCGCCTGAATATTATCATATAGATCTTACTATCTGAAAAAATTATTAGTGGATCGCACTGAAAAATTATATATATATAAAGGGTCTTTGCCTACACCTTTGCTATGCTGAATGATTTTTTAAGGAAATGCAGAATACAAGATAACCTTCTAATCAGGTAGTGAAATCATTAGGTCCTGTGTACTGATACTGATTGCACTATTACAGAAGTGGAGAAACGTTACCTACAAAGGAGTTCATGGCCCAGAACTATCCAAGTATCACAAACTTCAGCATTTCTCTTGCTATAAGATTTTTCTCTTTGGATATGTAATACTATTTTCGGGTATTACAAAGCATGTGGAGCCAGGTGTTTCCCTTACGGGTACGAGCTTGAAGCAGCTGAAACACAGGTTATCTCATGAAAGGTCACTTGTTATATTTTGCCTCCAAAATTGGGTCAAAACCCATGAGGGAAATAATTTCACACATAGGATTCAGGATTTTGGCAAGTCAGACTATTTTTGGCCACAGATACATGCCTTTCAATGATCAACAAAAGACTTAACTCGTGAGCTCAGCACATTGGAAAGGAAGAAAGAAGACCTCAGATAGTTCACAATATTGGGAAGGTTGCTAACATACTGTCAGAAGCACTGCTTCAAAGAACCATGAGCGTACGAGCATGACTGTAAATCTTGGCCTTTCAGTTCTTGGTTTGTTTGCACATTCTCCACAAGGATTAGGAAAGAAGACTAAGGTGTGGGTTTATTTGAAGAAAAATCTCCTTCATGAAACAGAAGTAAAGCTTTTCCCTTTTCTACTCATTTTTGAGAGAGAGTGCTTTAGCTAACAGAGCCTGGAAGTCCCACTAATGTACTCTTAAGCAGCAAAAACATGCTGCTCTCTCATGCCTGATAGCTTTCTAGGTCTGCTTCAGGAGGCTGATCAGTTCTGTTTCCTTTTAAGCACAATACTGCCATATTAGTTCACTTTGCCATATCTGATAACATACACCATCTTATTCTAACATACCCTTATTCTCTTAGAAAGCAGGAGGGTAAAGGAGAGTTAATCTGTTTGGATACTACTATTACAGCTTAGTTCTTGTACACCACAGCTGAAGGGAATATTTATCTCCTTTTAATGTCAAGTAACAAATTTAAAAATGAGAATGATATAAAGAAAACAATAACATATGATGTCTAAAGTGAAATATGCCCTTTGGAGTTAATACTGTACACCCCTCTCCATTTTCATCTTCCACAGTTCCATGCCAACAGCGAGAGTTTTACTGAAAAGCACTGATCTAACAAAGAAAGAAAATGTCAACAGTGCCGCACTTGGCCTTTTTTCTCAAAACAGAAGGAAGTAACAAGCTCTCTAAGAAAGGACACATTTTGACTCTTTTCCTAAAAGGACTTGCCCAATAGAGACTTTTCTCTATGGATTGTTTTCATGAAATAAATAATTTCCCCAAAGCTTTTCCATTGTCAAGTATTCCAGGAAAATTCAGTGAAATTAATGGCGTGTTCTTGGTTTGTTTTGATATAGCAGTGAACAAATGGAAGGTGAGTGTATTCACCATAGGTGAATTATTTCATAGGAATGAAGAAGATCCAAGTGTTTCATATAGCTGTCGGCTAGTGAGGGAAAGGAGACAATCTTAGCTAAGGAAACAGATGATAAATCAGCCTCCGTGTGTTTCTTGCTGCGTGCCAAAATGGAGTAACACTTAGTACTTTCGGTTTGGCCTACCTAACACTCTGGATGCTTTATACTTCTGCTTATTAATAAGGTTCAGTACAGAAAAAAAGAAAAAAAACATAAGCAGTGTTCTTCTGGGGTTTTTGTTTGGTAGTGTTTTTTTTATTTTGTAGTGATAAGTGTTAAAAAAGTGAATATGAATGTAGGCTACATAATATTTTAATAGTTACTACTATTAACCTTTTAAACAGATAAATTGTTTCTTTCTTAAGCATTGCAGCCTTTTTTCCAGAACATTAGTAGTGTAAAATGAGCTAGGATGGAATATTTTAGTTGAACACACATTTGAGGATAAAGAGGTTACTTCAATTCTTCCCTCAATGAACAGATTTTTAGATTGCCGAAGGGAATTAAAATCATACTCCTTTTTAAATTAACGGTGAGTCTTCCCCACAGCTGTAATAGGAGTGAGAGAACTTTTCTCTTTAAAAAACAAAAAAGCTGTAGCACTGCTTTTTCAGAACATGACTAGCTATTATGTGTACTGAGTGGGTGACTGTTTTTCCATGTGATCATGACTTTCCAAGTTTCTGTATAATCCTGACTCGAATATTTTCATGGCAAGAAAAGTACAAGATCTCAGACACTGTTAAGTAATCAGGGTAACAGACAACCTTTTCCAAGAACCACTTCAGAAACCTAATCTTTATGCATACATGACTGAAGGAGTTCAGAATTGTTTTCCAATCCTCTATAATTCTGTTTCCGTGAACTAAGACAGAATACTGCACACCTGGTCTTTAGATAGCAAATATTTCTGCTATGACAAATCAGACCTACTAAAGCCGTATGTAAACAGGGATGGCCACAACTTTACTCTGCCCTGTCTTTTTGCCTGTATGAAGACACTAGAGGAAGAGGCTGAACCAAAAAAGCTCTGTAGCTTAAGAGTACGGTTTTAAAAATAAATTGGGACCTATGTATTCCTTTTCTCAATTTAGTAGTTGAGAATATTCAGAATGTCTAAAGGATTATTATACCTTGCTCAACAAAACCCATCTTTGCAGAAGTATCAGACACACTATGTTGACTAAAATTTCTGCAATGTGCTTTGTTCCTCGGTAGTAAAAGTGTATCCATATCAGCCAGTTTATAAATAGCAAATAATTGCTAGTGATGCATTTGCAGGAGTATTTTTGTGGCTTTCTCTGTTCATTTCAGGATAAGCAGTTAATCAAAAAGTCATGCAGAAACTTCAGTAAAAAATAAGGCTCCAGGTGTTAACTTGATCTCTTGGACTATCTTTCAGAGGATGACTCTTCATCTAAGCTTCAAAGATTGTGAACTACATCATTACCAGCCAGGACAAGAGGAAGCTTTCTGCCACACTGCATGTCCAGTAGAAGGTATCCTTTCAATAGCATTTTATCACTAAAGTTGCCCAATATGCTGGAATCTATTTAGACTCTTTAATGGAACTGTTTGCCTTTTTTAATGCCTTTCCCCCATCTGCTTTACTTTCATGTGCCTGGGATTAGCATAAAGAATCAGACAGACTGCAAACTTGACAAATGTGTTATGCCTTGATTTTGAACTGCTGTGAAAATCTGGGTTTGGAGTATGTTGTTAAAGCCACTGGGCTCTGTCCCGAGTTGCCCACCTGCCTATCCACCACTAGGCAGCCAGCATCTGGAGTAGACAGTACACAGCATGCCTAACTCTAGGTGGGGGAGGTTCTCTTTGATATAACTCAGCCATGACACTGTGGAGACAAGAGTGTATCACACACATACATGGATAAGACAATACTTTCATATTCCATTTTTTACCTCTCAGCAATATCTGGGAAAAAAAAAAAGTTAAGAAATTCTACAACACCTTTTCCTTTTCATGTTTCCCTCTTCCCTTCTACCCTGGCTCATTTTCACAGCTCAGAATTTTTACAAATAGCTCACACACTTGCAAGGGTTGGGGGAGTAGGGAAGGTCCTGCCAAAACCATTTTGCAGCTGGAGAGCGAGGGTGAGATGACATTTGTTTACATCCTTCTCTTGAGAAGTAAAAACATTTTCCAGGCTTTGAAACAGTTGGAAGAGGGAACCCATCAGGCTTTGTATAATTCAGTGTTGCTGGTTTCAAGATTTATTTTTGTGTTTGTTTGTTTTCCTATTCATGCACAGTATATTCAGGAATACTTGCTGGTTCTTGCTGGGGAGAGGGTCAACCACTGCAGATAAAAATGGACTACTGTCTATGCAAACTCCACAGTTATTTCTAGTCTTCCTCGTTATGCATCTACTTTGATAACCTGGGCTTGGGGACCTGTGCACAGGAGCTGTGCTTGCCGAAGTTGGTCTCTCTTGATCACCTTGCAGGGGAACACAGCCTGCCTGGCAGGAGCTGTTTGTTTAGCAGGAACAAATGGGCTCCACTCTTATCTTTAAGGGTAGGGGACAGGTAGTGGGGAGGGGGACCCTGCTGCCTGGCATTCAGCCTTACCTGGACATGTGCTCCCGCTGCGGTCTGTGTGCCTTCTCCAGCCCTAGTTTGGTGAAGATCCCCACCAGCACCATGACTGCCACAACCCCGCAGATGATGTAGACAATGAGGTTGGTTTTATCCCTGGTAGGGTCATGCAGAGGGTCATCTATGCGGGAAGGAGGCTTTCCGGTGTTCATCCACAACGGCGTCTCATAGTTTGTGCAGGTGCTTTGATCCAGCCTTGTCTTCTTGAACTTGCAGCAAAACCTGAAGCCACAAGTGCCGCAGCAGAAAATGAACTCCCCCGAGCTGCAGTTAAAGGGGGGGTCCCACTGCCCCATCACATCAAAGTAGCCCCTGCAGAAGTCTGGGGTGGGAGGTGGCTCAGAGGGGTCTATCTGTTCCCCAGGGCCAGAGTGGTTTCCTCCCGAGAGCACCACAAAGCTCCCTAGCTGCTGGCCAGCTTTCTCCTGAGCCCGA